TCATACTTTTACTGTGACTGCAGGTTTAGCATCATTCTCCTTCCCGTTCAAGACTGTAACACGGAGGAGGGAAGAGCCGCTTCCCAGGAATAGTGCTACACCAGGCAAAAATGCTCTGTGGTTTACCATTTTCCTGCTGAACAGCCAGAATGAATCGTTTTTATGTTACTCTCTTTCTCCCTTGCAGACAGCTACGGCAATATTGAACCTGCCCTGGAGCCAGTGTGGGCTTTGGCTGTTGCTGGCAGCAGCTACATAATGTGGGAAAAGTCAACAGAGAACTTGGGTTACTTCATGGCGCAAGTCACGTCGGTGAAGCAGTGGGTAAGCGAAGTGGGAATCACACGTCTGCGTTAGAGAAGCTAACAGAGTCTCCCAAGCAGCAGAGAATAAAACTACCGTCAACAGCTCACGCTCTCCCCAGTGGGTGTGATTCTCCCAAAATCCCAGTGGCTTCTCCATACAAGTATCTCTGTCTCTGGACAAGTATTTCGTCCAGATTTTGGTGGAAAAATTTTACTCATTTGGACCAAATTTGCTTTTCTTTCTTTGCGTGAGTGGATCTGTTGGCTTCTGCAGGTTTAATCAGGAGATTTGACCATATGGTCCTGCAGTTTGTGAGCCCCACACCAACTCGCTCCTAGTACTCTTTGCCCTCCTAGCCAAGCTCAAAGGTAGCATCAGTCTAGTACCCAACACGTACTCTCTGGGGAACATACCTTACGCCAGCAGGTATGTTGGTATATAGGAGGTCCCAAAACTTTGTTTCCCTCAGTCATCTGAGATCGATAGACACAGTTCGTTTTTTACTCCCTAGCTATTCAGAATGAGATTTCTCTGAACGAAAGATTAATAGGTAAGATCCTCAAATTTATCTGAGGGTTAAGCTCAAGTAATTAGCACCTGATTTAGCCTAGCTTCACGTCAGAGAGCTGTCACACTGCAGACCCACACTCCAGTTAGTGCCTTCAAAGTTTTTATGCAGGTAGTGCTCCTAATTTCCCTTCTCTTCACATACAAAACCTCCCTTACTCCAGCCACCGACTGCAGCCATCTCAAGCCCTATTCATCTTGCTCCCTAAGCAAGTTAAATGCAGTGGAGTAAGTCAGAGTGGACTCTAACCTTCAACAATGTAACTTGTGTTCTTGATTTTTTTTTTTCCTCTTTGATGCATGTCCAGATAAGGAAAGATGATTTTATTGAGTTTGACTACACTGTCCTACTCCATGAAATTCCAACACAGGTAGGAAAGCATATGCATATAATACCTCCTTTCATCAACAGAGAAATAGTACAAAGATCATAAAAGACGTGCATTTTTAAATCTGTTCTGCAGGAAATTATTTCATGTCACATGCGCCTCACCTGGCTTCCTGGTCACCCTCTGAAAGTGAAATACTTCTGTGCTTCAGAGAATCGGGGGCTCGAAGATGGATCTGGATTGGAATCTGGATCAGCTGCTGGGCTTTTACATGAAAGGGGAGCAAATTTTTAAGAGAGATTGTCAGCTTTATGTGTATGTATTAAATGAGAAAATCCTTGTGTTAATAGACCCGGAGTTGTGATAATTTTTCTATACAAGTCACACAACAGTGAATTCAGATGCTTTCACTAGTCTGTTTTGTTCCAAAATTAATTCCTCCAATTTCTTAAACTGCAAGACTCAGGTGTTCTAGAGTTCCACCTAAAAACTTTGCTACTACGTATATACACAGCTAAACATACACAAGTTGATTTTACGTCACTAACTTACTGTTAGAGTCACATAGGGCCGAGGTTGGGTTTTCTTTCATGATGCTGCTGTTCGACCCCAACTTTCCATCTTCGCCCAGCGTCTGGCCTTTAAAAGGATGTGGACAAGCGTGGGCAGGGAAACGTCTCCCCACAAGGCCCTACAGAAGCCGGTAACCAGCGTCTGCATGGCCCTCGTCCCGCTGACGCACCGCGGTTCCCTGCGGCGTGAGCTTACAGAAAAAGAAACTTTCTTCTCTCAGATTTGCGAAGGCAAGTCAGAAAATATTGATAGAAGGAAAACATGTTTTGTTGTCTCCCCACATCTGACACCAGTCCAGAACACTGCAAGGCAGTGTCTGCCAGGCAGAAATTGAGGATGGTGTCTTAGTCTATTTGCAGTATGACACAGTTCTTGCTATTTTACCTTGAACGAAAACAGGCAGAACTGCAAAGGCAGGAAGGCTCTGTACAGATGAATTTCCACATTTGTGTTTGCTGGGGGAAGAGCCCGCTGCCAGAATACACCGTCAAACAGCTCTTGTATTAATGCCTGCCATGCCCTGTACCATCGCAACACAACCAAGCCCTACTGCAAGAGCATGTTGTCCTTTCACACCAAGTTCTCCATATGGGCTTCCAGCAGACCCACTGTCCTGCCTTTGTTCTCCAAGATTGTGCCAAACTGTCTCCACTTTGTCATTTTTTCCCCCATTAGCAAGACTTCCGCCAGGTTAAATTAACTCCCAATCAATAAGTACACCCTACCTAGGCAAACAAGCGACGGTCTCTGCCTTCTGGAATGGTTATGTTCTTTATAACTCGTCGTATATTGCGCTATCGTTGATCTGTAATCGGTAACAATGATTAAGGCATTCAACATGAAAGCTTTAACTGGGGGATATTAAGGCTGGGTGATCTGCTAACCCCCCAAATTCAGGCATTTTACACAAGTGTATTAGGGTCTGATATACTTTTACTGACTGAAGCTTTTTATATCAGCACATAATAGGCATTACAATAAATTCAGTGAAGCAACATTTCACATACTCTCGGTGTTTTCTTTTGTGCTGGTAAAACATTTCTCATCCTCAAAAGCATGAAATCAGAGCTTATAAAGGCAACATTTCTTAATGAAATTGGTGACAATATTTTTTAGAATTAAACCAAGAAAATAGTATGGATTTTGCATTTTGGGGCTCTACTGTAGCAATGCACTTAACCACAAATTTAGTTTCCTTACCTTGTTTTTGGCACTGCTCGCCAGACCTAGAACAGAGGATCAGGCACTTCCAACTTGCCAGATGGGTGTAACTTTGACTACTAACGAGCAACACAAACTTACATCAGTTAAGAAACCGCACAGTAACTTCTAGACAAGTAGCAAACCTGCTGGAATTCAAAGGCAACATTTCGCCCAACTTCTTTACGGCCAAGATTTCTGTCAGTGGATCAGAACCCAAAATCATACAGTTTTTACCCAAGAAAAATTCTTGGTTACATCAATGCAGACATTATCCGGGTTGAGGCTCAGACAGGTTCACAGGGAATTCTTCATGCTAAAAAAACCACGCACAGCCTATTTCTAAGAGGCACGGACAAGAGACGAGGAATAGCTCTCCCATCTTTGCTGCTAGGAAGAGTTCAACTAAGTCAGATGTACTGCAAGGGCTATCTAAAATTTGATTAAAGAAAACAAAAAAAACCCATCACGCACAAAGAAAATCCAGGGCACTCCAAAATTAGGCCCTTGCTAGCGCTTCTTCCACTGTCCCCCACTATCCATTAGCCTTCCCCTTCCCGCAGGTTTTCTCCCTCGTGCTGAAGTTCAGCAGAGCCCGCTGTGCCTCAGCTGCCCCTGCGCTGTGCCAAGCGAGGCCATGCTCTCATCGGCTGCCTAAGATTTGGGGAGAACCAGCACACGTCTGGCAGAACCCATTAGCCAGGAATTTACACCATGACTGCCCTCTAATAAGCATAATATAAAGAAATAATTTATATATTTAGATCAATATAAAGATATACTTACAGCAATAAATATAAGCATTTCTGTTTATAAATAGATGAAAGTATAAATAAAATAACAGCCACCCCATTTCTTTCTTGCATTCATACTGCTTTTATAAGACATCTTTGAATTTTGGTGAACTTGCTATATTTGCTTAAGAAAATTTCCAAATGTCAGAGAACCTGCAGGGTTTTTCTTGAAACAAGTTCCAGCTGAGTATTTTCACAAAAATAAAGCTCCAGACATAAGGGAATCAAGAAGGATCTGGCCCAAAGCAACATCATGCAACATTATGGCCTGTGTTTAGTTAGCATTTACACGCCCCTGACAAATCTCTGACACTGTACTTTTTTCAAGGTTAAAATAAATAATTTTCACTGCCTTTCCGTGAAGGCAGAGGAAAAGAAGCCCAGCCATTACAGTTCTGTCTGCGTCTGGTAAACATCAACCACAATCCTGTGCCAGGAATGTAGCTGGTTTTGAACTGGAACATCCTTCTCTGTTTACTGGAAGTCTGCAAAAATGCTGTTAAGCTGAGTAGGTCAGGAAGAGAGAGCACGCAAAGAAAATTCAGCGTGGATCTTCTGGTAGCAATTAAAAATAAATAGTGATGATAATACCTTCTCTCTCTCACCTAACTGTGACATCCTTTTTTTATCTTTCCTCTATGAATGAGCAAGATCTACTCAACTGATTGCCAAGCTGAGCATCAGCAGCAACATGTCCTTTTGACTGTAAGACTCTGGGAAAATGAATCTTTCATTTGGCTTTCTAACAAAGAGCCAAGAAAGCAAGCCCATAAAATAAATCCACGTTGTTCATAGTTTTGGAAAGAGTTAACTTCTACGTACATTCTTGTCAACTTGTACCATCCAAGATAAGCCAATGTGGGGACAAGCAAGTTGCACTGACAGCTCACTTTACCCAGTTCGTTTGGACTTCGGAGGCTCCAAGCATTGTTCCTGAAGGATGAGGAGGGAAAGTGACGTTCGTTCTCCAGATGGTACGCTGTAAGTGCAGGAGCTAAAAGGATCTGTGCTTGGAGCATGTATGTGAAAAATGCTCAGTATTGGATGACGCCACCCCTGTCCCTGTCCAGCAGTTCATAATTACCCGAGTCTCTTAAACTAAAATTTTTGAACTTTCAAAACCAGAGAAACAGTAACTAGCCTAATTACAAAATAACAATGTATCAAGTAAAAAAGTAAAATTATTTTAATACAACTGGATTAAGACAGATTTCAAGACAAATTATCATCAGTGTTTTAACATTGATATATTTTGTTAATGAGTAGCATTTACATGTGAACAATTCCGTTTGTAATCTCCCGGTGGCTGCTGAGAATACCACAAAGGAAGGATATTATGATGAAATTACCAGCCCTAGTCCCACTGCAGCCTGCACTTATCCAGCCAGCCTTGATTGCTTCTACCACTTGGGCAACCGAGCTTTTAGAGAAGATTGTGAAAAACTGTTCAATGCACTCAAGAGGAAAAAATGTCAGCTCTTGGCTTTGCCCTTCTTTGCAGGAAGTCGTCCTGTTGCTTCGAGGTATTTGTTAATTATTTCTTCTTGAGTGCTGGGCGAACATGGTTGATATTTACAGTATTCCATCGTATATTCACCCTTTCCCTGCAGAGTTGGAAGAAGAACAGTCGAAGTGAGGATCATAAACATGTAATCCTATTTAGCAGTAGGCCACACCCTAACCTCTGAAATGACATGCAATAATAATTTACAATGAAGCATACAACCACCATGTACTGAGGCACGTACACACGATGTGCAAAACCAGACAAACGGTATCTGAACACTTTTTTTGATACGAGACTATAAGATCACCATCTCATCAGAGTGACGATTCTGCTTATCTGAAAATGATCACAGTATTAATAACAATATTAATAACAAATTAATATTCCAGTGCTCACAGAATACCAGCACTCAACGTGTCACAAGATGTGGAACAGCAAATTTTATATAACACATGAACTTGCCCAATTCAAACACATTCAATGAGCATGTAACTACAGGCATATATATTATTTAAAAAGGACATCTTGATAACGTGAGCACTGCTGTCAAAAATCTCTTCTACTTGCAGATATTTATAACTTAAGGAGTATGCCTCAACTTTTCCAGCCTGTCAATTTAATACGTTCACTCATAGCTATCACTTCATATTACTTACGAGACTGAATCTCTTCCCTCCTCAAAGTATGAAATAGAATTTTTGAAAAATAATTTTTTGTCCAGAAATGACACAGATGATAGCTATTACAGACTATTTTCCTATTTTGCATTTGTTTTGATTTTTATTGCTTTTACTGCTGCATATGCTATGTATATAATGATGCAAATTAGCACCCTTGATTTACATAAATGAACATGTTCTAGTAAAAAGTACCAGGAGTGCTTACCTCTGTGCAAGACCTCAGCTCAGTGGCGTATCCAAACATAGCATTCAGTGGCACCTAAAATCCAAGCATACTATTCTTGTAAAAACAAGATCTTTTTCCATCAGCTTTGGGTTATCATCCACTTAATCTCAATTATGATATAAAGAGTCAGTAAAATCTGGTGTTCCTTGTAAACAGTACTGATCTAATTATCTATTTTTGTAAAGTACCCCTTATTTCAACTAACTTATATTCACTATGTGTTTTTAGCCGGAAACCCTAAAAATCTCAGAGCGTGAATGCACCAGAGCGGGGAGCATCCCAAATACAGTAATCTGCGTCACCCAGCAAGAGATGGTACATTCAAAATATCTCAAAGACAGCAGCTCTAAACACAATTTACAAAGCAGGAGTGATGTAGCATGTGGCTTGTCGTTAGCCGAGGTTTTGCGGACATGATTTACCCTACCACCGCTGCTAGATGTACGCTTCGACATGACCTAACATAAGAATAAGTAAGTTTTTAGAAGGGACATAAAAGAAAGAACAAACAATGAAGACAAGTCATTTGCGTTGACCTGCAATGATTACAGTTAATGCAGGTAACGGCTGAAGGAAGGCAGCTCACAAAAAGATCTTCCCCCTGAGCTCTGTGCCCTCTCCCTCCGAGGCAGCACCACCAGCCCATCTCAAGAAACCCGAGTTCTGCTCCTTTGGCTGCCACCACGTGATTTTAGGTTAGCAACTCGGCTTCTCTGGAGCAAGACAGATTTACAGTAGGCTTACTAATACTGCACAATACACTGCCACAAGTTGAAAATTGATGTTATGCTTATCCACTGTAAAATTTGGCTACAAGTTTACACATATTAGTCAATAAGTAAAACAGGAATGGAGTCAAAAGGCAAAGCAGGAAAATAAAAGGGCAGGAATCAATGAACAACACAAACCTCAGCATAGAGAGTAAAGTAACCCTCTGTGCCGTCTTGTCCTGTGATCACTCCGTGACGGCGATTAATTCCTGCTATCACCACTCCTTGGAATTCAGTGGGTGCCATCACCTCCACTGACATAATGGGCTCAAGTATACGCACAGTGGCATTTTCCATAGCTGGAGAAAAAAAGCTCGATTAAATAATCATACCCTGGTGCCTACCTAGATCGTGTGTACTAAATAACCTCTAATTTGGCAATTGAAGCCTTGCAAGAAGCCACCCAAATCCACTCCAACCGTAAGATTGGACGGGACAGCTAAGACAACTTCTTTCCCAATAGACCCACGACAATGAAAGCAAGCAGTAACGTGAAGTTGTGTCTTGCCAGATTGCATAAATTAACTTTCAGCTAAATTCATATGCAGCTGAACAAACTAAAGAACAAGGCTGTTATCACTCAAGCTACCCCTCTGCACAACAACGAAGTGTTTTATGGTTAATGCTAAGCACTTCTTACATCAGTGGGGGAAAACAATAACTGACTATGTGGAATTCCAGCTCCCTTGCCTTGTACTGCTGAGACTGTAATGCTGAGAGGCACGCAGTCAGATAGAATGTTATTTTCAGACCTGTGCAAGGATGAAGCTGCTAGTGTTTCTTTATTCTAGGAAAAAGGATTTGCTTCATACAACTAAAAGAATTATTGTGCCTCCGTCAACATTTCTATAAATGCTTGCATATATTCTGCTGTACGCAACCAGCCACACTCTGAATGTATGTATGGATACACCAGGCAAGAAATGAACCTATAGAAATAAGGTCAGTAAATTTAGCTCCAACAATAAAGACACCAGCAGGACTATGCGTTCAAATGACCAGCTTCATACCTTGCTTTAGGGCTCCTTCTCCTGCTCTGATGAAAGCGATTTCACTAGAGTCCACCATGTGATGTGCACCATCATCTAGGACAAACCGGACTCCAGAGATCTTGTGCCCTGATGCAGGACCTTTTTCACATGCTTCTCGGAATCCCTGTCAAATAACATCTTGGAGTTAGCAGTTTTTAGACCAAAATGAAGCTTAAAAATGAGCAGCATTAACATCAGCATATAAAACACATTAAACTTAAAAACCAAAACAATAATAACAGACAAGGTTACATCTTGGATGGACAAGGGGTCCATCTACCCCATGGACCTTCTTGCTTGATAAGATGATGGAAGAACAAAAGAGTAGGGAAAATTTTTCTTTCCCAAGCATTTGAAAACTTTGTACTACCATTCTTTGGCACCTCAGTTTGATACTGATGTTTTTTAGAAAAAGAAACTGTGTAACAAGCTAAGGACAAGAAAAAGAAATGTACTCAGGATTTTTCTTTGTTAAGGGACTGTATGACCAAAAACTGAAAGAATGCTCCACGTGGAAAGAACTACTCTAACCATTCGACTGAAGAATAAGATTCATTTCAGAATGCATGGTTTTTCCAGGACTTGGCAAAAATCTTTTAAGTGTTGCATCATGGAATAACAAAGGAATTATTTTAGGTTGATCCATTATTACGGGAACTGAAAAATTATGCTAGGTACTACTTAAAGTAGTACATGATAAATTATACAGTTACAGAGAGACAGACACAGAGGAAGCCACAGAAGAGATGAAAAAGAAAGAATATTTGGTAATTCATGCAGGAAACCTAGCTTAATTACCGTTTCCTACGTAACTGGCCTCAGGGAAGTCACAAAAAAAGTTACATAGCTAGAGGGTAGAGTTGAGAATCAGCAGGAAACCTAGCTTAATTACCGTTTCCTACCTAACTGGCCTCAGGGAAGTCACAAAAAAACTTACATAGCTAGAGGGTAGAGTTGAGAATCGCACAGACACAATCAAGAGCAGAAGAGGCCCGTTAAAAAGCAGATTCAACAGGAGGCTTGTTTGTCTGTACGAACAGAAAGCCTACCTTTGGCACCGCGGCACTGCTATGGAAACAGAGCAAGCACACACCACCAAAGAAAACAAACAGCAGCTTCTAAATTAAGTGGAAAAGCTAGGAATGTAAGATTAAGCAGAGCCACACAAGTTTGATTCTGCTTCCAGTGAAGTAACGGGAACAGCCTCCTTGCCTGAGGCAAGACAGCCACAGTAAACATGGAGCGTATAGCAGGAAAACAACAAAAATCAATTTCTTGTACCATACCCACACACAAAACGCTTTGTACCTTTTCAACAGCAGGCACAAATTGTTTTGGAATATTTGTGCCAACGGTTCTGTCTTCAAACTCCAATTTTGTGTAGTCCTCGGGATCCAGGGGCTCCAGAACGCCTATGACTTTGCCATACTGGCCTGCTCCGCCCGTCTGTTTCTTGTGTGTATACTCAAACCTAAGGACAAACAAATCCCCCCCAGAATACTGCATTATTCATTACACAAACTGTGCTCTAACCACCGTTTTCTAAGGAAAATGTTCCCATTCTGCATTTTGCTGTATCCGATTTGGCCACGGGTTAAAAAAAAATGGCTAAATGCCCTAACAGCGGCTGAAACAACAGCTGGGGATATTTAATGCCCGAAGAGGGAGCACCACGATTCTTCATCTGGCAAGCAGGAACCCGAGAGATCGCGATAACTCAAATCTCTCAAAAAAATAGCTGCAAAACCAAGCTGCTTCTGTGTGCCAATAAAGCCTGCTTACCTTTAGGCTTGTGCTTTTTGTTGACTGAATAGCAGTATTTTGTTGTTGTTTCTGCACATACCTGCAGTTTCCACCCACAAAGTACTTTGCCGTTAGGGGGATATTTAGGGGCAAACCTCGCGAATATGAACTATTAAAGGCTTTTCAAGTGAAACCGGAGGGAGCCGAGGTCTCTCCCAAGCACCTGCCCGCTGCCCCGCCCGGCT